CCCCAAAACCCCAAAACCCCAAAACCCCAAAACCCCAAATATTATAACTCCATTTGAATTAGTAAAATGTTATATAAACGCTAAGCAATATCACAAGAAATTTACCTAAAAATCAAGAATTAATTATTTTATTTTTACTCTAATATTTTGTCATCGAGATTTCGAATCTCATTAAGCTCAGCCTATTACCCCTAACAAAAATATGAATGAAAATGATTATAGAATAAAAGTGACTCAATTCTCTCTTTTCATTTCCAATGTAACAACTTGTGGATTATTATTAACCAAATCTTATTGTGCCGAAATTTGATAGGTCTTGTTCACTTGAGCTAAAGAGGATTGATGAATCTGCTAAATTTTTAGACTTACTTTCTAATCCACTTGGCGTGATACTTTGTCACTAAATGAAATCAATAAATCAGGTTAGAATAAATAGGTAAAGATATTATAATACAACTCCAAATAAAATGCAGGTTTACACGGATTCTAATGATAGATGAGAGAAATAAAATGAACTGATTCATTAAAATGTAAAAACAATTCTTAAGAAATTTGACTGCTGACAAAAGGGCTTCCATGGTGGATTTTCTCACAATTCTGATCAAGAGATTGCCCTCGAAAACAAAACGTTCCCATAAAGTCAAGCCGGTTTAAGGAATAGTTAGAGTGCTCGTGGAGTTGGGATAAACTTTATTTAGATGACTCCGAACAATTTTGAGAAATTATAACATTTAAGAACCATTCTTTGGATAAATCAGAACTAATTCCAAAAATATGGGTTCGCTTGCATTCCAATATGGTTCATCTCAAATTAGAAAGTGGAAAAACGTGCTGAATGCGCCATAGAAAACAGACTTGGTCTCAATTATGTAAAATTCAAAACTGAAGAGAATAAGTAAGTGGTTTAATTAACTTAATCATAGTATCATTAGAATCCGTGTAAACCCGCATTTTATTTGGAGTTGTATTATAATATCTTTACCTATTTATTCTAACCTGATTTATTGGTTTCATTTAGTGACAAAGTATCACGCCAAGTGGATTAGAAAGTAAGTCTAAAAATTTAGCAGATTCATCAATCCTCTTTAGCTCAAGTGAACAAGACCTATCAAATTTCGGCACAATAAGATTTGGTTAATAATAATCCACAAGTTGTTACATTGGAAATGAAAAGAGAGAATTGAGTCACTTTTATTCTATAATCATTTTCATTCATATTTTTGTTAGGGGTAATAGGCTGAGCTTAATGAGATTCGAAATCTCGATGACAAAATATTAGAGTAAAAATAAAATAATTAATTCTTGATTTTTAGGTAAATTTCTTGTGATATTGCTTAGCGTTTATATAACATTTTACTAATTCAAATGGAGTTATAATATTTGGGGTTTTGGGGTTTTGGGGTTTTGGGGTTTTGGGG